ATGTTACTTCTTAGATTAATCATAACTATTTAGGAATATTTTTTTATCCTCCGACTGAGGGGTAATTAATTGAGAAAGGAGGGTAATTATTTGAGTAACTACGGTAATTGATAAAAAATATTTTTTTTAATTTTTTCTAAAAAGAAAAACCTTTCCAAAAACCGAAATAGCCACAGTCTCTTCCCCAGCTATTGACACATCAAGTTCAACAGCCGTTGCCACATTTGGAAATGAACATTCACGACCAGCTTCTCCCGGAATTGCTGTTTAATATATTTTTAAATTATTTAAAAATATTTTTTTCTTTAAATCTCTTAAAATTTGTATTGATATTTTTTATTTTAATTTTAAAATAATTAATAATTTTTTGCTTATTAAAGTCAAAAATAAATTTTAAGTAAATAATAATCTATTTAAAATATAATAAAGTTCAAAGATATATTTATTGAAGGGTCTAGTTTAATGCATATTTTCGAATATATTTTTAAAATATTTTATTCCAAGAAGATGAACGGGAGCTCTGAGAGAGAGATATTCAAAGTAGGGTTCGATTTTACGGGGCGAAGGCTGATTTTACGAAGAACGGGGGCTCTGAGAAGAGAAAGCTCCCACATTCCCTGGGGAATTCCTTGGATCGGGGAACGATCCAAGATAGGGGAAACTGATTTAGAGAACGATCCTTGGATCGGGGACCCTAATTTAAGGTGAACAGAATTTCTTAATAATTTATTGTAAAAAAATAAAATTTATAAAAAATATTTCACAAATATATATTTATTTATAAAATTTAGAAATTTATTTAAAAAATTGAGTAAATTCTTTAGAAATTTTTAATTATTTTTATTTAAATTTTAGAGTCTTTAGTTCTTTAAATTCTCTTAATTAATTAATTTACAACTGTCCACAAAGAGAAAATAAATGCAAAAAAGGCCACCAAAAATGCAAGAATTGCCCTTAAATTAATTTTTAATTTAATTATTTTTTAAAAATTAAATAAATTGCTACCTGCTCAATCGTTGTTTTAATATATTTGTTCGTTTTTGACGTTCATTGAATGGTGGCCCCGTTGTTGTTAATAAATCTTTTTCCTCTAAATTGGTTGAAATAGAATTTTCTTTTAATTCAACTCCACGCATTCCAGCCTTGAAAATTTTTTAATTTTATGTAAAAATTCTAAAAAACAGTTAAACCTCGCTATAAGCTACCCCTGAAGTTAAATACTCCCATAAGAGAAATGGAAAAAGGAGTCTCGTTTTTTTCTTTAGGAAGACAAATAATAAAAAAGTGAGGGCAACTCAACCGCTCCAAAAGTCGAAAACTTTGAGGCCCTACATATAACTTTCCGATTGGGGGGGGGGGGGGGGTAGGGCCGAAAAAGAAAAAAAAGGAAATAGTCTTGCTAGTTTTTTTGGGAGGAACTGGCTATAACTAGAACTAAGCTATAACTCTTATTTAGGATGCTCCTCATTACAAAATAACTTTTTAAAGCCCCTAAGGGGATGTCTAATAGTGAGGTTCAAAAGTAAAAGTTTTTACATAAATTCTCTCCTCCATTGTCATAATTGCATTACGAGCACCATCCCATTTACCTGGACCATCCAAACGATATACATAACTTAAAAATAATCCAAAATATTCAAAGATTAACGAAAAATTTTTTAATTTACGGAGCATTAGCGCCAAAAAGAAGTTTTTGATAAAAAGTTGGATCAGATATAGCATATTTCCCCAATGCCGGCAAACAGCCAATTAAACGTGCCAATTCATCCATATAGTCAATATAGTCTACCTTTAATTATTTTTAATTAAATATTTATTTAATTTATTTGCCTGTATTGTATGTCTTGGACTTTTTACATAACGAGCTTGTAATTTTTCTTTTCGTTCCCGAATATTGTCTTGCATTGCTCTCCATTTAGGTAAAACAACATTTCCATTTAAAACCTCAAAAAATAATCTAGCTTGCATTTCGGCAATTGGCATAATTGAGCCTAGAGGCTAAAAAAGGTAATTTTAATAAATATAAGTAGGGTTGACGGTTCCTGTAAATTTTTCGGAGATCCGAAACCAAACCGAAAATTTTAAGGATGAGCAGTGTCCGAAATTTCGTATTGACGAATTAGGAATGGTACCACACTGAAATTTCGTTATTTTCTACGCCGCAGGCGAAAATTTAAGGAATTTAAGAATGCCATTAAATCAGAAAATACTTCGTTTTCTAATGACCCAATGGAGAACCCGAACCGATATCCGAACCGAAATTTTCGCTTATTCGAAACCGAAGGACCAAACAGAAAAATCCTCGGTTCTTCGGTACAGTCCAGATCCGATAACCCAAGCTAAAAGTATTGAAATTTAATTTTTATAACTACTTGAATTAATCCAATAACGGCCAAAGTATTTTTTGGACTTAACTGTGGAGGGTACATATACTACAAAATTAAATTTATATTTTTTATTAAAATTAAAAAACCAAATAAAGGTCCATATCATTTTCTACAACAGGAATTAACGTTCCATGTTCAGCCAATGGAAAACTAAAAGAATACCCTGTAGCGAGAATTAACTAAAATAAATTTTTCAATTCAAATTTTTTAGAAAATCCCCTAACATGATCAACATTTTTTATTTCGCTTCCATCCTCAAAAACCAGTCCATTCCCGTCAGGTAAAAATTCTCGAATATTAGGTTTAACACGAACAGTTCCACAACACAAACGATTTGGTAATTCATCGTTAACAGTTAAATGGGCACTTTTAGAAGAAGAAAAAAGAAATTAAATTTAAATTTTAAAAATACGCTAATATTGAATGTTTGGGTTTTAATCCAAATTTGGCATGGTTAAAACGGCGATTAAAGCTAAGAAAAAAATATAGAAATATGGATATTTTTATAATTTATTTACATTTTCTCTAAATGCCAAGAAACTGCAGAAGAGGGGACTATTTGTTTAAGTATATGCCACCAACGAGTATTTAATGCCATATCAAAAGGATAAGAATGATCCATATTTCGAAATAATACCCAAGTACCTCTTCGAGTGACCAGATAAACCTTTAATTAAAAGAGATAAGAATTTATGGAGTGCGGACATGTCGGGACAGACATGTCAAGATTGGGGTGACAAAAATAATTTCTTGCGAGTTTACGTTTGTTCTAAAACATAAAAACTCTATTCCTCAACAGGACAATATACTATCCAAGACCCAGTGGCCGTAGGTCCCGAAATCAGTAGGGTAACTGTCCGTACGTTGAAATATCCCGATATGTCCGTTCCGATATGTCCGCGTGCCGAATTTATTTTTAAAATAATTATTTTCTAAAATTTTAAGCTTATAAAAAATTGAAAAAAATTTAGTTTAATTCCCAAAAACTTTCAAACAAAAAATTAATTTTTAGTTATTCTTATCCAAATAATTTCCAAAAAATACTATTAATATGTAAAAACACCTGTTTAGCAACTCTACTTAATTCTACAGCAATATCAACTCCAGAGTTCCCAACACCAACTACAACAACAACTTGATCATCATACCCTCTCTGATCTTTGTAGGAATGGGCCTAATATGTAAAAACATATATTTATAAGTATGTAGATATTATATTATTTACATGAATTATTTTCCCTTTAAAATTTTCCTGTCCAGGCCAAGCAGGGGGGAAATTTGGAGTAGTATGGTGACCAGTACATAAAAGTACAGCATCGAAGATTTCATGAAAGACCTCAGAATTATTTCTTTAAAATAAAGAAATTTAAAGATAATGCTAATGAGTATTGAACAAAAATTTTAGATTATACATATTCTCATAAAGTTAAGTTCTGGCCTATAACAAGTGATTGGAATTTTGAAATTTTCTCGTACCCATTTTTTGTTCGTACCCATTTTTTGTTCGTACTCATAGTTCATAAACAGGTACGAAGTACGAATTTTGGTACGAGCTTCCAATCACTGCCTATAACTTTTTCTGAGAATTGTAAAGAAATTTCTCTCATTTCTCGAATTTTCAAGTAATTCTTTCAATCTCTTTTTTAAGAACAAATTCCTTGTTCAATCTAGTACGAAACATATCTCTTAGGAATGTGATTAGGGTTGTCGGTTCCTGGAAAATCATCGGATATCCGGATCCGAACCGAACCGAAAAATCGTCATTTCTTCGGTGTGGTTCGGTACAGAACTGACAACCCTAAATGTGATTTTATTTACTTCTAAAGTTATTCACGTCAACGAAATATTCAATATTTAATAAAAAATCTCGAAGACCACCCTCATCCCTCTTAGCTCAAAAATATTATTCCTAAAAATAATAATTTCTGCCGATATAATTAGTAGCTAAGAACATTAGATAAATATCCAAATTTTATTTCAAAAATACCCTTTTTTATATTGTACAATCCATTGGCCATTATTCTCAAAATCTTCACATCTCTCCACATTAATAACTTTGTGCTCCAAATATAAATATTTATTAAAGTCAAAAGAATCAGCATAAAGACGTAAATATTCGAGCATACCTTTATTTAAATTAAATTAAATTTAAAAAATTTTAATAAATTATTACATCGATTATGCATAAAATTTGCAAAATTGGAAGGGGGCACAAAAGTGCTATAAGCAGTCATTTCCTTTAAAATTAATTTTAATTTCAACAAAATACTTTTAAATGTACCTTGCTTGTATTAATTACTGTAGTTTTCATTACTGTCCCCTCTTAAAATTTAATTTTTAGATTTTTGGAAGACAAGTCGGTAATATTGAACCTGACAGACCCCATTTCTTCCTCCCCAAGTTTTTCCCTATATATCCACAGAAATCTTAGACTTTTTCCTTTCTTCCATCCCAATTGCCCTTCTTTATTTTGCCTACAAACAAAAGGAATTTTTAGCCCCCCTTGGATGGAAGGAAAATTGAAGGAAGAAGTCTGACCATTCTACAAGTATATAGGAAGAAACTTAGGGAGGAAAGAATGGGGGTCTGTCAGGTTCAATATTACCGATAAGTCTAAGCTCCTTTACCTTCAGTTTCATAGGGTTTGTATCTCCAAAGACCCCCAATATCTGTTGAAGATTCGAACACAAAAGGAAGCCAACCATGGTCAAGAGCTTCTCTAAAGGTGTTCAAAATTAATTTTTTTTTAAATATAGTCCAAAATGTGTGAAAAATTCTTAGAATTTCAATTTCAAATTAAAATTAAAAATATATAAAATTCTCCACCTAGCAGCAGGAATTCCACTAGCACCTGCCCCAATAATTGCAACTCTCTTCTTTTGCAACTTTTCATGTTCAATCTCCATCAGAATTTATTTTTTTTAAAAATCTATAATGGGTGAGGGGCAACTCAGGGAATTCCAAATCACGGAACAGACAAGTCAAGGAACGACCATCTCTGGAACGGCCAAATCATGGAATATTTTAAAAATCGGAATTTTTTGAGAAAACTGAGATTTAAAAAAAAATAAGAATTCTAACAAAATTACACTAAACAGAATTTAAAAAAAAATCTGAAAAATTCTAATTTTTAAAATATTCCATGATTTGGTCGTTCCTTGATTTGTCTTTTCCTTGAGTTACCCGACAAGAATAGAATATGAACAATTAATTTATTTACTACTTTGAAAAAAAAATAAAAACGCCTAGACTTTTTTAAAAAATTATTGCCAATTTTTAAAACAAAAAATTAAATGTTTGCAAAATAAATAACGAAAACTAAATAATTTAAAAAATTAACTAATATTAGTATTTTTGTAAAGGAAAGGAAAATTTATAAAGAAAAAAAATAAAAATGCAAACAATACAATAATTTTTATAAAAATTGATTTTATTTATTTATTTATTTGGACTGATAAGCAGAAAAAACAAAAGTAATCCTTTAGTTATTATTATTGTGTAATATATAAATGTAAGTATTTATTATACACAAGAAATTTTATTTATTTTTTACAATAATTTAATGAGAAAAAAAATAATCTACCAGAAAGACTAAAATTTAACGTGAATCTTGCTTATACATCTGCTAAGAAATTTTAAACTTAAAATAAATAATTATCGGCTCTATCTGAAAGATAATTATGTAGGTAGTCGAGGCAGGGTGAAACACGGATCGGACACGACATTAAAGGACAAAACACGGGCTTGCCAACATACGGAACGACCAAAATTCAGGCCATACCAAGACGACCAGACAGTGCTTTGTCTGTTCCGTATTTTGGAATTCCTTGTTTTGCCCTTCACAAGATCTTAAAAAAGTTAGAAAAAATAGGAAAAAGATAGAGTCTAATACTAATAGATAAATGATTGGAGATAAATTGAAAAATCAAAAATAAATTAAAAGGGTTTTTAAATTGAATTTAGAAATAGGTAAATTGAAAATAAAATGAATTATATGTATTCTCATTAATGGTATAAAATCTTTTAACGTTTTTGGGACTAGAGATTGGACAAATGGACAAATTCTTCTATCGGACTAGAGATCTTTTTTTGCGGACTAGAGATCGGGTTCATTTTAAAAAAAATATTTTTTTAATTAAAATTTGAAAAATTGGTTGAGGAAATTTTTTTAGAAAATCCTGATGAAATAAACGAAAAATTGATGTCCTCAAACATTAACATGAAGCAGAGGTGGGTCGGAATTCCGATTTCCGACGTCTTTTCTTCCGACGTTTTCCATTCCTATTTCCGAAAAAAATTTTGATTTCCTATTTCCGAGTTCCGACTTTTGAGCCAGTTCCGATTTCCGACTCTTCCGATTTCCGACACCTCTGACAGTTCCGTCCTACCTCTGATATGGAACAGCAATATTTTTAATATTTTAAAAATTAAAGTGCATTTCTATAAATAAATAAAATAAATTGTTTTTAATTTAAAAAAAGTAATTTATTAGCTACAATAATTATTTTCCCAGCACTTTTCCTGTCTTTTTTTAAATATCAAGTTGTTATTCATTTTTTTAAAGTTGCGAACAGAGTTATTCTTTTTTTAAACAAGTCTCATTCCATTAAAACATTTCCGTCCTTTTTTCATTATCTGGCCTTACGGATCTTACAACCAGAAATTTATTAGGAAATTGGAAAAAAATGTTTTTCCTTATTAAAAGGCTGTTTTATTTGAAGATGTGTAAAGTTTAAAAAAATATTACAATTAATGTCAGGATGTGTCAGTTATACTTACTTTATATTTTGTTATAATTAAAATTTTTATGTAGCGTTAAAGTGAAATATTGTAATTGTTTCATAATATGTGTAGTCGTGACTAGAGTACGTCGAGTACCGAGTAATTAGTGGAAAACCCGAGCAGTACTGAGTAACCGAGTAATTGGGAATAAGTCGAGTTTGTAAGTAAGTATTATATGTCAGGAGCTCCCCGAAGTTAGGATCCCAAGTTTGAGCCTGAGTAAGGACGAAAAAACTCGAGCGATCAAGTAAATAAAAGATAAATAAAAATACTTGGATGAACTCTAGTCGTGACTAAGAGGGTGGAACTGTAAATTTTTGGATTTTGAAAACAAAAATGAAAATTGGTACTCTGTACGAATTTCGTTTCCTGAGTATGAGTACAAAGGATGAGAGTCCTAATACGAGAACTTGTAACCGAACTTGCTTTCAAGTATGTGGAAAAAATAGATAGGCACGAGTACGAGGAATTTTTTAATTTTTACTTACATTGGGGGCAGGTGAAATTTTGGAAATTAATTTGGATTTTATTTTTTTATTTTTCCTAAGTTTTGTTTATTTATTTTGGAATAAAAATGAAAAAATAAACAAAAAAACAATTTTATTTAAAATATATTTTAAATTAAAATATCCAGTCAACAAATCATTTTTAATCCGATTTATAGCATTGTTATTTTGAATATAAAGCGAAAAAAAGAAAATAGGGTTGGATAAAATAGGGTTGGATATATAATTTTAAATTAAATAATACAAAAAAAATCCAGGTTTTACAAATAATTTTCTGAAATTAATTTGAAAATAATTTAGTTAGAGGTTGGGCACAATCGTTTGCTTTGGACACAAATTTTATTCAACCTTTGGTTTCGATCATAGTTTTTGATTCCGATTGTGATTATGTTCCACAATACTTTAAAATTATTTTGTGACATAGAGATCTACTTTTAGTGACATTGACAGTGAAAGGTCGCGATTGTGTTCTACAAAGATTTAAAAATAAGAGTATCAATTGACATTCACAATCGAAATGTCACATTCAAGCGAAATGTCACATTAATGTCACATTAATTTTGATGATAGTTTACCTATCCGAGAGGGGGATTTTGGGTTAACTATCCTCAACTGAGGGTTGATTAAACCCTACATTTTTAATTAAAATATAAAAATAAAAACAATTAAATCCAAAAATATTTATCTAAATCTGTGTTTTTATTTAATTTATAATTCATTCATCTTCTTTATAATCCAATCCTCAACTTTTTCAATATTTAGATCTACCTTAAATTTTTTATTATCCTCTATAGAATTATTTATAATTTCAATTTTAATTTTATTTTCAATAAATTCCTCAATTAATTCATTTCCATATTTCTTTACCAATTCTTTAATTTTTTCCTCATTAAAATTAAATACAAAATCCCCATTTAAATTTTCAGTTATTCCTTCAAAACTTTCCAAATTTTCAATTATTTCTTTTATTTTATTTTCGTAATTTTCATTAAAATAATTAAATTTATCAGCTAAATGTTTATAAATTTCTAAAATTCCTCTCAATTGAAATGTTGTTATCAAGCGTTTTTTTAATTCTTTAAAAGAATTTAAATTTAAATTATCAACTCTATTCAATATTTTATTTAAAACTTCTTTCCCTTTATTTTTTAAAATTTCAAACCAATCCTCTCCATTATTTTCTAAAATTTCTTTTTTATTTAATTTTTCCCTATATTCCAACATATATTTATAAAAATATGAAATTTTTTTATTTTTAATTATTGCAGTTATAACATTTAAATTATCTTCTTTAATATATTTATCTATAATTGATGTAAGATAAACAATTTTGTAGAAGAACCATATTCCTTCTTTTACTCCAAATTGGAGGATAAATATTTCTTAAATTTTAATTAATGATAAAAAAATTTATTAAAGGTAGGCCGATATTCCATATATCCTCAAAATCCACTAATATCTCTCAATCCACTTATATCCACCAAATCTTCTGACTATATTAATCTTTCAAAGCATACTTAACAGGATTGGCGTTAGTCTCGTATCTCGTGTCTCGTATTTTCTGGGACGAGTGCCACCCTTGTTATACATAGGTGAATGAGAGAGAGAGACAAGCACTCCTTTGCTATCAAAGAAAACGGAATAGTAAAATTGTTAGAAAATTTATAAACGCCTGAAAAAACAAACGTTTTGTGTATGTTTGGTAGGAACTAGATTTTTTAGTAATCTTGAGAATAGTATGGATTTTATAAACGAATTGAAAATCATGATCAAAAACAAATGTCTCGTTCCAGTTTTACTAAAAACCAATTTATTATTCAACTAATTTTACAAAAATTATTAAAATATAACCTCCTTTTTCAATATTTTCATAACATTCTCTAATTTCTTTAATTAAATTCTCATATTCGTCATATTTATTTATTTCCCCCAATAAGTCCAGTTTCCTCATTTTTAAATTAATTTCTTGCCAATAATTCTCCAAATTTATTTTTTTATAAAAATCTATTTTGTCCCTAATCTCGTCCATTTTTTCTTTTATTAAATTTTTTTCAGAATCAATTTTATAAATTGGAGGAACCTCCAATTTTGTTAATTTTAAATTATTTGATAAAATAGATATTTGGTATTTCTCTAAATTATTTTTAGCATAAATAACTTCGACTTGATTTGTAAAAATTTTTCTTTTAATAATCTTTAAGAAAATAATTATTTATAGATTAATACGGTACACCTCAATTGAGTCCCGGACCCTATAACTTATGAAGGGATGGTCACTTTTTTTTGCTCTTGGTACCATTGGATAGGGCATTAAATAGGCTACAATATACCAAAAAATCAAAATTCCTGACCGACTGGTAAAAAAGTTATGATCGATAAAGTGCCGAAAAATCAGATTTTTTTGAAAAAGTTAGTTTTTAGATCATAACTTTTTTATCAGTTGGTCAAAAATTCTGATTTTTTGATATATTGTAGTCCATCTAATGCTCTATCAAATGGTACCAAAAACATTAAAAATCATCAACTCGTACTTGAGTTATAGGGCCAGGACTCAATTGAGCCGGGACTCAGTTGAACTGCTCCGAGATTAATAGAATATTTTGGCGCTGGTCTAGTCTATGCGTCCAATGAACTTTTATGCGTCCAATCAAAAGAAATTGAATTTTTCTTGGTTTCTTTGACCATTCCTCACATTATCCCTCGAAATTTCTGAAAGCTATAATTGTTTTTCTAAAATTTTTAAAAGTTGGCTGTAACTTTCAGAAAGTGAAGCTATAACTTTTAGGAAAGGAATGGCCCCAGACCTAGTGGGCGTATGTCCCTGACATGAAGAAATGTTTTGAAACCATACCCTAACTCTGCACCACCAAGAAAAATTCAATTTTATTTTGATTGGACTCAGAAACTAGACCAGCGCCAATATTTTGCTTTTATTTACCTGATTTTTAATTTTCGGAATTATCAATTTTAAATTAATATTTATCGGGATTTCTATAAAAATTTCTGCAAAATCGTATAATAAACTTTTATAAACATTCTTTTTTCTTTCTATAAAATTTTTTTCTATAAAATTTAAATTAAATTTTATATTTTTAAATTTAAAATAATTAATATTTTTGATTTTCATTCCTTCTATTTTTTTAATTTATTTTTTGATCCTTTTAATTTATACAATAAATTAGATTTAAAGGTTTTATATTCATAATTTAATAAATAATTAAATTGACGTGAATTTTGGTAATCTTCTTTAATTTTTAATTCAACAGTAACTTGACTACAATTGAAAGTTTTAAATAAAAATAGAATAAATATTTGTGAAATAAAAAAATAATTAGTAAACATTCTTTTAATTAGTAGACTATAAATAAATTTAAATTAATTTAAAAAAGAATTCTGTGGCAAGAAGGAGAAATGGAGTAACACAGCTGGGCTATAGCTATTTTTTTCCTTTAGCTAGTGCAAAAGGTTATTCGGCGGCTGGGAGCGAACCAGCATCTTCAGTGAACCGGACTGATGTGTTAGCCGTTACACTACGCCGCCTACTGCACAGCTTTAGGAATTAAATAGCTATCTATATGCTTTACATGGTCATTTCTTGGCTTCCTAAAACCCCAAAAATTAAATCTCAAAAAAAATAAACATTTAAATAGAAAGATCATTAATGGCGTTGCCTCCCCAAAACTACACCCCCTCCTAGTTTATTTTATAATTATTTATTTTTATATTTTAATATTTTAAATTAATTTTATATAAAATTTAGCTGGATTTTATAAAATAAAAAGTTAATTTTTTTTTATTTTTTGTTCGATTGAGAAATATGTAGGTAAATAAATAAAATCAGCTTTGATTTTGCCCTTAAAATGCCTTTGATTTTGCCTATGTTTTTCCGAATAATCAATTAAATTAAAGGGAGAGAAATTAATTGCCACATTTTTTGAATGCCCTTTTAGGTAAAAAAGGACATTTTTTTAAACTTATATTTTTTAAAAAACTGTCATGCGATTTTATTTTTAAATTTTGTACTGTATAACTTAACTAGGTATCTCCAAAAGTGATCCGTGTGGATCCAGAAGTTTTTATTTTAGTTCTTCGGAAAAAAAGTTCATTTAAATGTTTAAAAATAGCCGAAATATTAATGGATTTTTGTTACAATTAAATTTCTAAGTCGAAGGTTTATAACAAAAAAGTACGATAACATTAACAGTCTGGAAGTCTATAACATAATAACTTAAATTTTATAATTAAATTAGTGTAAAGCATATAGCTATTAATTTCCTAAGGCTGAGCAGTAGGCGGCGTGGTGTAATGGCTAACACATCAGTCCGGTCTACTGAAGATGCTGGTTCGCTTCCAGCTCCGATTAACCTTTTGAACTAGCTAAAGGAGAGAAATAGCTATAGCCCAGCTGCTTTACTTTAGTTTAATTTTATTATTTATTCACTTGTTTTACCTCCAAAAAAATTTAAGTAAAAACGACATATATTTATTTGTCCGGTTAGTTTTTAATGCTAATGGTCAACTACCATTATTCGCTTGTTAGTGTTTATGTAGCGGGATAATCGCCCTATTTTTCGACGATTATAATTTGTAAAACTTGCTTATTAGTTAAATTTAAATATATTTATTTTCAACAAAAACCAAAAAAAAACTTTTAATATAGGTATGAAAATATTATGATTACTTACCGTATTTATTCTAATAGAACCACAGTGGTTCTATTTTTCAACCTCTCAAATTTTGTGCTTATATTAGAGACTGTGGTAAAATAGAGATGTGTTTCCATTAGAATAAATACGGTATATAAATTTTTCCTTATGTTTGAATTTTATGAATAAAAAGCTGGAATTTGATCCTCGATATTCGTTATTTTCCAATGATCATTCTGCAAGTCTACTACATCTAACGGTTATTCTTTGATATTAGTTAATCAATCTCTGTATGGACAAACCCCATTAACGGCTTAGTATTAAAAATTTTTAATGGAATGCTAGCCTGTGTGTTAGTGCTAGTTTTGCAGCCTACAACCATCCTTTATCTGATTGATAAACTTTGTGGGTGTGCTCGTAACTTCATCAAAAGCTAAGGCAAACCCAAAAAGCACAACAACCAAACCTTAATATTTATTTGTTTACATATAAAATTATTTAAAAATTCCAACGAACATACTAAAGAATTTTTAGCATTGTTATCTTTTACTCGTAAAAATAATAATCGGTTTAACATAAAATTTCAATAGTCTAATTTTCTATGGAATTTGTTTAAAAACTTTATGATAAATAACTGCTTTGTTTTGCATTTTTATAAAATTATTAAAATAAAAATATTTGGATAAAATTATTTTAATAAATTTTGTAATTAAAAATATTTATTTAAAAATTCTAAATAATTATGAAAACCTCTCTTTGTTTCTTTGTTGTTACTAAATTATTTTTAAACAGAAAATCCGTAAATTAAAACTAGATTATAATTTATATGTATAAGAGAGCAAGCTGGACCTAGACCAAGGCCTGGATTTTTCCTGTACCCAGAGTCTAGACTCAGGCATTTTTTGACCTTCCTGGGTTTTCCTGGACTACAGGCCCAAGAGAGCTGGCCCAGGTCAATAAACCAAACACGGAACTCTGGAACAGGCCCAGGCTTTTCAAAAATCTCGATCTCTAATATGTATATATTTAGGTCTATAGACTTCTAAGGTTAAAATTTTTGGGTATTCTTTAAGAAATTAATTAACAGATTAATTATTCAGCAAAAATTCGAGATTAATTTTTCGAAAATATTATCAAAAACCTATGTATTACACTCTGTTCCAAAATTATAAGGTTACCCTATTTTTTGTCATATCTTATTGAAAAAGCGTCGAAATTTAAAAAAAAATTATTTTTATGACCAAAAAATTAAATTTGAAGTGTTCCATAATTATAAGGTCACCTTTGTTTTATATGTTTTTTTAATAGTGGGACAAATTTAATCAGTTATTTTTTCATTTTTAATTTCCCAAATATTTTTTTCTAAATCAAAAAAGCATCATTTAAATCCAGTCATCACACTTTTCCTCTTTTAAAGCTTTTCATTTTCCCATCATTTTTTTCAAGAGTAAACAATAGAAAATAAACAACAGCAGTTTTATGGTCAAAAAATATTTTTTGTTTCCCTCCTTTATTTTAAATTCATCAATAAAAAGAGGAAAGGCCGAATAAATGCTTTAAAGACCTAGTAAATACACAAATAACAACATCTTTTTTGTTATTATTACAATCATTCTTTTGTACATTTTTTTATTTTATTTCTCCACTATTCTCGTCTCTACAATAAAAAAAATATTTTTTATAATCCTTTAATCAAATTTTTATTCTAAATCAATATTTTTTGTTTTAAATTGTTTGTAAATATTTTTAGTTTACAAGGAACCATATCGAACTGTCAGCAAAAATTCCGTAATTATTTTTATAACATCGTGTAGAACAGGGTCAATTTCCTCTTGTCATTTTTTCTTTTCGGCCCTACCACAAAATTGGAAAGTTATAGGGCTTCAAAGTTTTCGACTTTTGGAGCGGTAATTTTAAATTTTTAGTTTAATAATCTCGGAGGATTGTAAAAAAATTTTTTTGGAATTTTGTAATTTATTATTTTTGTAATTATTTTTTGTAATTTATTTTTCTTTAAATTATTTTTTTTACAAAAAAACAAAAATTATTTTAAAAGTAATTTTGTGTACTGATAAGGTTAAAAATGGAAAAAATGATCAATTGAAATTATGGGGCATGCAAGACGTTCCGCCAGTTTATTTTTTCACCGTTCATCAATTGCAAATATTTTTATAATAAAATTGTTAAAGTAGTATTATGTAGATGCGCAACATTTTAACCAATATATTTTAAAATTTATCTTTTACTGATGGCCATTTTTGAATTTTCTTAGGTCCACGTTTAGTGGGGCAATTTCAAAAAATATTTATAGAGAGATTATAAATAAATAAATATTTTTTTATTTTTAATTAATTTATTTATTTCTAACCTATTTACTTAATCAATAAAAATCAAGAATCCTTTTTATTATCAAAATCTTTTAAATATACTTCAAGGTTATCGCTTTTTCGTTCATTTAATACTTTTTTCTTTCTTTAAACGACTAGGAACGATTTAAAATAAAAAATTTTTTTATAATTTTAAAAATAGATTTAACATTTTAAATATTGAATATACCGTATTTACTCGATTAATTCCCCTTGGGAATTATTATTTGAACCCATCCGTAGCATTTATTCAAGGGAGGGGAATTATTCGAGTTTTGAAATTTGAATGTGTAGTGGGGTATTTGGAGGAGGGGATTATTGTTTCAACTCATCCGTAGCGGAGGAAATTATTCGAGAGAGGGGAATTTATCGAGTAAATACGGTATACATACCTTTATATTTGATTAAAAAATAATTTAAAATTAATTCTTGAAATTATAAATTTGACAATTATAATTTACAATGATATGAAAATTTTTAAATAATTAGTCTCTGATAATTACAAAAATTTTAAATATTTTTTAGAATTTTTTAAAATTAATTTTATAAAATGGAAGCAACCGAAAAACAGACTTCTTTATTATTAAAAACAATTTCTAATAAAAAAGAAACGAATAAACCTTCTAGTCAATTTCGCCCATTTCTCTCATATAAAAACTTTAAAAAAATTTCTCAAGAAAAATTGGACAGTTTTGAAGGAGGTAATTTGTTTGAAATTAATGGAAAATTTATTATTAATATGTAAGATTTTCTATTCATCTTCAAGATTTTTTTGACCTGATTAAATTTTTGTTAATTACCGATTTTACCGATTAATTCCCCTCCCTCGAATAATTCCCCCTCTCGATTAATTCCCCATGCTAGAGTTGTGTTGAAACAATAATTCCCCACCCCCAAATACCCTTCTGTACGTTCAAATCCCAAAACGCGAATAATTCCCCTCCTTCTTCCCCATCCCATGTATGGTTTGAAATATTAATTCCCCAGGGAAATTAGTCGAGAAAATACGGTAATTATTTGTAAAAATTTAAATCTAAAATTAATTACCTACCTAAATAATTTTAATTTAAATATTTTTAGAAGAAAATATTCTAAACGAAAATATCAGCCTAACATCTACTTATTCAATTACTCAATTTTTGAAGAACATTGGAGGAGGGCATTCCCTTTGCAGAATTCTTAAACAATTTTCAGATGGCCGTATTTGGATCGAAATTGGGGGACATGAATTATTATTAATGCAAACAGTTAATGTAAATACAGAAATGTTGGAAGGAGAGAAAGAAGTAAAAATAAATATAAATTTTAATTATCTAATTAGATCATCTCTTTATATCCCTTATTTTTATATTTCAAATCCAAGGAATAGAAGAATCGTTTAGTTAATTTGTAATTTTATAAAAAATTCTGGACAATTGTTTTGATGTAGTAGTGGAATTATTTTGAAACGAGACGATAAATTTAACCTTAAGATGTCGGGAATCGGGATTTATACTTATCTTTTCATAAAAGAATAACCGAATGGACCGCGTTTCGGGCTAACTCAAGGAACAGACAAATCAAGGAACTTATTTTTTAAAAATATTCAGATTTTTCAAAAAATTCCTATTTTAAAAATATTCCACAAGTTGGTCATTCCTTGACCTATCTTTTTCTTGACTTGTCCGTTCCTTGAGTTGGTATTCCTTGAATTAGCCCCCACCCGAATGAACATGCATTACTTCGTTTAGATAAATTACCAAATTTTTATCTTTTGATAATCAAAAATATAATTTATTTTCAGATTCCTCTACATTCCCCTCAATCAACATTTCCAACTGGAAATATATCATCTTCAACTTCCCCACATTCTCCACACTCTCACTTAACAAATTGTATTTTTGCAAATAACAAAAGTTATTCTTCAATGATTCGCCCTTCAAGTTTGGGTGGTAAGATTTTGAATTTTTAAAGATTTATTATCAAAATACTCTTTGTTAGCTTATATTTTTTAAATATTAATTTCTCATTATTTCTTCAACAATTAAAACCCCAAAATAATTTTCTTCCAAAAAAGGCTACCCAGAAAGAATGCCCTTTTCTTCATTTATCCGCTCATTTATATGTTTATTGAAGAACAAAGAATTTATCGAAAAAAATTCTGAAGAAAAGGAAGAGAATATTAATAATAATTCAATTAATGATCGAGAAAATGTCAGAAGGATATTAAAAAGGGCAGGTATTGCAGAGCATCGTTACAGGCTTGGATTGTCACAGATTTTGTTACAAAGGTGGATATTAAAATAAATTTTTTAAAATAATTATCCAAAATATTATAAAAATATTAACTTAAATAATTTTTAAGAGAACTCCTCGAGGAGTTAGAGCACAAACGTTCTGTTGTACTCCTACCTGTTTTGAGTATATTTCAGGTGGATAATATATCTTAAATAAATTGTTAGTGAATATTAGAGACGTACAAGACCAAAAATATTTCTAAGACTCAATACCAAGAATACACTCCAAGAATGTCCATCCCATCCCAATGCATCCCAAAAAAAGATGATGCTTATAGATTCAATACCAAGACTACACCCTAAACCAGAAACCCCTGGGTTATACCCTATAACCCATGAACGAAGTTTTCAGGTCCTAAAACTCAAGATCAAGAGTCTTGGACGTCTCTAGTAAATATTTAAAATCTTCTCGATTAAAGCTTTTTTGTGTAATTACTTAAATTAAAAATTATTATGGAAATCAAGAAAAATTTCCTTATTTGTAAATTTGAATAAAACCAAATTTTAGGCAAATTGCCGTAAATATTTAATTTCAAAAAGAATGGAAAAGGAGAGGGAAAAAGACGAAGCTATCCGAATAATTCAATGGAATTTTGAACGGTGGCAGGATTTAAACAAATCAAAATGGTGGAAATTATTTGTTTATATAAGGCCACTAATCCCTGCAGCTAGGTTCCAAAAAATATTTTTAATAATTCCAAAAAAAATTTTTTTCTTAGCGTTGATGCAAGGGAAAATCGCTTGAAAGAACATTTGGCCCAATTAGAGTTAGAATTAGACGAGCTTCGTTCAGAGCATTCTAGAACTCAACTAGAATTAGAATCAGCCCAAAAATCCAAACAAATTGCAGAAAAGTGGTCAGAAGAAATTGGGCAAATTAATAAAAAATTAATGGGTGAATTGAAAGAGACTGAAGAGAAAATTAAAAAATCTGTAAAAACAACCGAACAGATAAACGGTAATTTTTGGTTAAAAATTACAGATTAAATCGAATCTTGATAAGCCGTTACACCTTAATGTAAGAGCGGAGGTCAAGCTCGTGATAGCGGGGGTCAATTTCGCTAAAACATATCCCTCGGGACCGAATTGTGAAGACGTAAAAAGGAAGGATACAGTAGTCATCGACATAAAGAAAGGGACAAGAGCAACTAAAATGACTCGGTAGTATAAAATATTATTCCGATAAAATTTATACTCATTAAATAGAGAATTAAATGGAGTATCTAATAAAACAAAAATATTATTCTTAAAATGAATTTTTAACTGAGAAAATGGTCAATTTTCATTTCAGTTACTCTTGCCCCTATCTTTATGTCAATGACTGTATGTGATACATATCGAGATTCGATTTTAATTATTTGAATAAAAATTTGAAGAAAATTAAAATTTAGAAAAATTATAAACTCAAAAAGAATAAAAAATTAAAAGAAATACATAAAATTAAAAATAAATTTGTAAAGTTTGAATTTGAAATTGTATTGAATTGATGTTAAAGACAATGTCTGTTGCGTGTTGCTGCTGAAAGTTTATGTGCTGCTTAAAAACAAAAATCTAGTGAATTTCTGCTATTAGGTGTTCAAAAACCAGACCCCTTACCCTTCCTAATTATAATAAGTATATGGTTGATAATTGTGCGGAGACGGAAAAACTGGAACCCTTCAACGAGGGAATTGGGTGGAATTGGGGACGCGTACGCCTTACCATTTTATGGTCTATCATTACGAGAGAAGCAATAAAAGAGAGCAGACACTAACAAATAAAGGTACCACTATAGAGAGAAGAATTGTGTGTATTCTCTACGCCGTCCCCAATGCTAGCAACGAATCTAGGGCGCGCGTAAATTGATTTCATTGGTCTATTTAACGTCCACGACAAAACTTTCGTTCCCATCTATCTTTATTCACTGCTATTACCCTTTTTTAATTCCAAAAATCAAGGATTGGTCAAATATCAAACATAAACACCTCTCAGATTTTCAAACTTTTAATTCAACAATTTAGGGATAAATAATTTTTTAGACAAAATATTCTACATTTTTTATTATCAAGCTGCTATATTTCTTATTTTCTGCTAGTACTACATGTCAAGATTCACAAAATCGCAACAAGGTGCTAGGAAATTGGTATATGAGGTGGGTTAAAATTTATTTTCAAATTTTTATATTACAAGTTGTAAGCGGGGGGGGCTTTAAATACCAGTTCATACATTAACTAAGAATTTTTTTTAAACTTATGGAAGAAAGAAATGACTGACCATTTTGTACATAAACTAAAACACGGAATGGGGTGGGGAGGGGGGGGGGAATAAGTACCCATATTTATAATAATTTGTTGATGGCATTCCATCTACGGTAATAGATAGGTATAAAGATTATAAATTTTGTAAAGTTCAAAATATTCTATTCACGAATCTTAAAAAGCATTTCTTGAAAGTTTTAAAATCAAACAATCAACGAATCTAGGGCGCGCGTAAATTGTCCCCCACTTGGAATTTTTTTTAAATACATAATAAATTTCATTAAAATTATGTGGTAATTCCGCGACTCTGCAATTCGCCTACATTACCGTAACTTTGCTTGACGACCAATTTTATTCTATTTAACCCCTTCCCAGCCAGTACTTGTATATAGCTTCACATTTTTAGTTTTTTCCTCCCCTTTCTACATTCATTTTCGCTTGCCTTTATTTTTAGTGCTGCTGCAATATTATAGAGGAGCCTCTTAAATCGATTATTCTATGTAGTATTACCTCCCCCATAAACTTTGTCTAAATCTTGCTACATATTTTCTAAATAAAATTTTGTTCATCTTTCATATCCGTCATGTCTTGATCTGATTTTGTTTTTATATTTCATAGGTACTTAAGTTTGGGATACACCCAAGTAGACGCACGGCCATGACGGCGCAAAGCCATAAATTGCTGGAAAACTTCTGGCCCTTAGCAATTTTGATACCAATCTCTTTAGCTCGATGAGAGGAATCGTTTATTACTAAATTTAGTAAGATTCTGAAATCTTGAAGTAAGTAATGGTTTTGCGCCATTATGACCGCTCGCCTACTTGGACTGTACCCCTTAAGTTTCTTTAGTAGCTCTTGGAATATGTATGTATATTTTCTTGACCTGAATTTTATTTATCCCACAAATTTAGATTGACTACTTTGAAGGACTTGCTCTCGTTGCAAATAAATCAATACCTCCTACTGTATCTCTCTATAGCGAACATTGTCCTAGTTAAGATCCTCCTCCCCTGTTTCTTTACTCATTCTCTTCATTTCCCATACCATTGAAAATAAAATGGCTGCCAAACGCAAGGTAATAAGTTTGGAGACAAAAAAGTATATTATTGATGATTCTCAACATGGTCTTAAAAACAGTGAATTGTGCAGAAAATACAACTTGGATCGAACAACTGTATTAATGATTCTGAAAAATAAACAGAATATTTTAAATGCTATAGAGAAGGGAGCAATTGGAAGCAGAGCAAGACTTTACAGACATTCAGTTTTGGATGAGGCTTTATTAGAATGGATTAATATTCAAAACTCCAAAAATATTCCATTCGATGGCCAAATGCTCAAGGCTTGCTTAAAAATCAGGAAAATTTTTAGGAACTTAAAATTCCAGAAGAAAGCTTTGGAACTCTCTAAACAATTTCCTGGAAAAGCTGATAAATTTGTGGCGAGTAATGGTTGGCTTGTTCGATTTCGTGCCCGATACTCTATTAAATTCAGCAAAGGAGAGGATGAGGCTATCAACACGAATATTAAGAGTTGTGAACAAGATAAGGAGGTAGTATTTTGGCTGTTTTTAATTATTCCGTATCTTGAAATTTTGACATGCGGTCACTTGGCATTTTCGTGATCTCTATCTAAATTACTAACTTAATAATCACATTATTCATTATTAACAGCATTTCTCGTTTCAAAAATTGTAATCATTATGTATGTGTATCTTCACTCAACTATTACCTCCCTCAAATAATTACCCCCTCCAGCTAGAGGTTGAAAAAATAATTACTCCCCTAAAATATTTAGAAATAGCTTTTCTCAAATAACCTCAAATAATTACCCCACCTCTATTAATTAACCCCTCTAGCGAAAAATTAATTGCCCAGGGTAATTATTTGAGTAAATACGCCTGCTTTCATTTTATTTATTTTCTTGTCGAATTTTGTATTTTTTTTTGTTATTTAAATTTTTGGTTTTCTTTTTTTGTCTTTTAGATAAAGTTTATTTAATGGAAAATCCATCTAATAATAAAATTCGATTTATTCCAATTAAAACTTCAAACGCAGCAGAGGACCCAGGATCGCCAAAAGAAGAAGAAAAACATGACATGTCCGAAGACGATCCGGAATTTTTGCCGGAAATGTCAAATAGCCAGAAAAAACGCCAATCATACCCAATAGATGTTAAGTTAGAAGTAATTGAATACGCAAAGAAAACTTCGAGACATGCTGCTGCTAGACATTTTGGAATTAGTCGTAAATGTATCTCTCAGTGGGTTGCTGTTGAAGAGAGACTTCGGGAATTTAAAAATGTGACTGCGAAGGGAGCAAAATTGCGACTTCCGGGTGCTGGGCGTCGGGTACAAAAGCCTGAAACCGATGAAGACGAAAAAGTAAGGAAATGTTTCATTTTGGTAATGTTGGGTAACGTGACAGTCATACTTAAGGGCATGTTTCAGTGAATTTCAGTGAACCAATAAATATCCTTAAATATTGCCTCTTTTTATATTCTCGGGTGTTTTATTCGTTAGATACCTTTCTATGTCACCGTTTTTTTCTCGTTTACATCACTTATGCCTCTCCAAACTAAACAGCCAGCTAATAAAATACTCCCGCGTCGCGGTCCGATGACGGATGTGCATTTTTCTCGAACATTTTGTCATTCCTCGCTCTTTTATATATTCTCTCTTACTTGTGTCTTTCTCACATTCCTTTTTATTTCTTACTAAAGTCATATATTGTGTGTTTACCTAGCAATCGACAATTCCCCACTCTTGTCGGCTTTGTCATTTTATTTTTAACATGAAACAGATTTTAGTGTACATATTTCTATTTTATTAAAATCCTTCTCAAGTAACTCCCTTTAAATTTAAGGGGGGGGGGGGGGTCGTTTAAATTAAATTTTTCACTATATTACACTCACTTTGGCCCAAATCGGTAATACAAAGGCTGCCCCCCTTTTTATTTCTATTTTTTTCATTTTCTATGGCAAATTATATCCATTCGAAAGAGCTCTTCGACCTGAGTCGAACGGTAGTAAAATCATCGAAATCCGACTTAAATCAACATAGTTATAGCTTCTATTTTAATCCCTTTCAACATCACAAAAAGCATGTCCATCGAGGATTTAGCTTCATAATTTTGTTCATTATCGTTAAATCTAACCGATCGTGGTATCATTCTACTCAGCTCGGACAGCTCTTTTGAATAATTTATTGTAAATTGTATGTCAGGCAAAAAAGCTCAAAATGGTCAGGGAATCAGAAAAAAAGTGGGGGACCAGCCTTGGTATTACCTCTAAATCTATTGTAGTTCTTATTAAATCAGTTAATAATTCTACAGTATCTATGTCATCTTCTCCAGATGCAGAAATTATTCCCGATACATCCCCACCATTAAAACTCCCAAAACACCGAAGAAAACGCACTCTTATTACACTTGCAACTAAAAGAGATATAATTGAAACGTCTGTTGGAAAAACTTCTTCACAAGTTGGGAAACTATTCGATCTTCCATCCTCGACTATTAGATCAATTCTTCAAAGTAAAAATATAATTCTCGGAGCCCTAGAAAGGGGAGCAGAAGAGAAACGTTCTTGCATCCAACCAGTAAAGAATGAAAATCTTGATAATGCTATATTTGATTGGGTCAGAACAACGAGGGAGGGAGGTTCTCCTCTATCTGGTCCAATTCTGAAGGTTAATAATGAATCTTCAACTATGAATTTAAATTTTCCGATTAAAGGAAAAGGCAATTGAAATTGCAAAACAATTAAATATTGAAAATTTCAAAGCTTCGGATGGATGGCTAGAAAAATTTAAACATAGACATTCTATATCTTTTAACAACAAAGAAGAAACTTTAGATGATGTGAGAGCATTTAAATGCCAACTTATTTTTTAATTTTGAATTAAAGTTTTGAGAGCCTGTTGGTCCTTATCATTTTTTTCCTTTGTAATATTTCAATTCAAATTTTGCTTGCTGTCACATTGTTTTTTAAGATTCGTGTTGGGATCCAAAAGATTTTAGACTGATCATATCTGATCTATCCTATTAGAAAAAATATACAGCTTATCGAGGGCTTTCGAATGATATAAAATTCAGTTGTATTGGATTAAGCATTTAAAAGTTACAGCCGATCAAAGTCGGCTGGTACTCAGTTTGCGGTCGTATAACGAAAAAGTACCGAAATAACTTAGAATTAAGCTTAATTTTTTACTTTTTTTGTAGGTAGGTGAGAACGACCATTTTTACAGACAAATAATTTAATTTTATTAGGGGTTTGCGTACACAAAACATCGCCTTAGTGTTGATGGACGTAGAACCTATTGGCGTTGTGAGAGACGAAGTTCATTAACAGGCTGCCATGGACGTGCTGTTACTATTGGAAATGAGGAGGGGCAACCTGTTCTTTTAACCGTTCATCATAATCATCCACCGTCTGAGAAATATGGTCCATTGACTGGAGGGACCGGAGTGCATGGGTCCGTTTTCTACTATACCTAAATCAAAAAATATTTTATTTTTATTTTAGCTGGGCAATTGGGGGTGATGTTGTTGGTACTTCTTCCACTACTCCACCACCAACTAATGTTCGAGGAGTTCCTATTGTTCCAAAAATATCTCGTTGTGATATTGCAAAAACTTATGGAGAAACTGGTGTAAATTCTTCACGGAAACGCCGTTTTGAAACTCCCCAGTTTCCATTTGCTCTTTCTCTCCCACCATTTATTGGAGATGGGGGTATTTTGTTGAATTTTATTATTCTTTAATTTAATAAAAATTAAAGAGCCTCCAAACCTTACAAAGGCCGATGAGACTCCCAATTCTCCTCAAAATTGCTCTTCATATTCAACTTTGGAACAATTTATTAATTCTCATTCTGACAACAATTTACCTCCTTTTCTTGAATCGGCACAGGATAACTTTAACGTCGAAATTCCAATAAAACGCCCTCATTTAGAGGATAATAATGATGGGGCGGAATTGGGAGAACTTTATTCGACGGAGGGATTTTTTGATCCAAACAATGAAAGCTGTAAGGTCAATGAACGTACAGCGAAATTAGATCTATTGAAGAAAGAGTGGGAAGGTAGATTATACTTTTTTTTAATAAATTCCCTTCCTCGAGACTTGGACGCGAAGTTTTTGATAATATTCCAGAATCTTTGCGTCCCATTTATACAGTCTGATATTGATGTTAATGTCCGTTGGCCCTCATTCTTAAATATGAGTTGGGGCTGAAAAACGACATTTAGGAATGAGGGTCATACTCCCTATAATTTTCAATAAAATATTAATAAACATACCTGAAATGAGATATTTCTAATTTTGGAGTCCAAAGTCTGACTGTTTCGGATTTACTTGTGTTTTTATACTTTGGTTTGGGTTCTGTAAAGTTTTTTTGTTTTGGACACCCAATATGTAGATAGATATCCGTTAGCTTATAGCCAAAATTCCAGTGGTTTAGGTCCAAAATACATGAGTGAACAGAACTCACCGTAAACTTAAAACATAAAGAAAATCAACTTACAATTTTATGGGGTACATAAATCTGGCAAGAGTTTAATTCCTTACATTATTCAACTGTTTTTTCTGAAAACAATACAAAAATATTATACAGAATTTCCTTCATATGATCCTTCTCAACCCTCCTCTTCTTCATTAGTAGCAGTACAACAATCTGCTGATGCATTAATTAAGAATTCATCGACCAATCAAATAAATAATGTTTCTTCTTCGTCTTTTGGAGGGACAGCTTTAATTAGAGAAAAATCCCAACTCGATTTTTTTCTTCAATTGCCAGTCAACACAGAATTTACTAGTGATCAGCATGGCTGTGGTTCGATTAAAATTTTTATAAAATGGAGTGTGGGGGGTTTTATATAAATATTTAATGGCTCGTTTAATTATTCCTTTATATTATCCCTCTATCCTGTGTCCTTATTCTATTATAGCCATTTTTGGTTTTAAAAAGTTTTGAGTTTATTTTTCTCGGTTCTCGATAGGTTGTTGGTTCCTGAAAATTCTTCGGATATCCGAAACCGAACCGAAAAATCATCGATTCTTCTGTCGGTCCAGAGCCGACAACCCTAATTATCATTATTTCATTATAATTAGTAAATTTGTCTATTTAATTAGGTAATTTGTGTGTGTGTTATGATTGCAAGTGAAAATAAAAACTGAATTGTCAGATAATAAAATAATAATTTTTAAATGATTATTAACATAAAAAATTAACACAAAAAATTAAATGTTCTTCAAATAATACATATGTGAAATAATATTTTTAGTTAAATTTTTATTAAATTTTCTAGGAACAACAACAAATGATATGAAACAAATGCCGACAACACAGGAATGGGAGAATGATCCAAGGGTAAATAAATTTTACCTTGTTTCATGTCAAAGATTTAATTCGGGAAATGAAATAGATTGCGATAAGAGTTTGTGAATATACATATAAGGAAAATCTAATTTTTCTGATGGATTCTATTAACGAAACTACCGTATATGCTCTAATAATTACCTAGGGTAATTTTTGTTTCGACCTCTCGCTGGAGGGGGTAATTAATAGAGCGGGAGATAATTATTTGAGAGGGATATACGGTATCCTTGTTGAGATATCCTGATAGAGTTAAATTGTTGGAATCTTATACTCCCTAATCTACTAATCTTTATATTCTCAAAAATTTTCTAATTTTAGACAATTGAACTTCGTAAACAATTAAATGATGCTCTCGATCGTGAACGCAACTCTCAGCACAAACTTCAAAAGACTGCTGACGAGTTGCTTGATGCACGTTCAGAGATTGATGTTAAAAATGCAAAAAATGAACGTTTAGAGAAGAGGCTTAAAAAGTAACTCTTTTAATTGGCCTGTCATTCTATTCTCTTTTTAAATGAGGGATATATTCGTTTGGTAAAAAAACTATCCGGATTTGAAATATACCGTAAATGTTCTAATAGAAGCCCTGGACGTCTATTTTTTGGGCGGGCCTCTAATGGGGCATGGGCGTTTATTCCTCAATACCCCCACATTGAGTGGGCTTCTAATAGGGCATGGGCTTCATAGCCGGGTTTTTATCAGAAAATCTACGATATATTACAAAATTGAATTAATATTTCTTTAGTGCAAATGATGAATTGGCTAGTTTACGAGAACAATTGGATCAATCTATGGATCACCGTGAAACACTTGAAAGACAACAATTCGAATTAAATTTAAAGGAATCGAGAAAAAGGACAGAATTACAGAGAGAATTGGAGGCAAAAGAGGATGAAATGGAGGAAATGAGGTGCTTGGATTTATTTAACTTTAAAATAAATTCAAAATAAATAGAATTCAATTTCAACGTAAAATTCGAAATCTTGAATCGACTTTGGACGATGCTCAGCTTGAAATTTCGTCTTTGCTTAAACAGAAAAAAGCGGCATGGCAACGTAATAGTCAATCTGTTTCAATGAATGGTTCTTTGTTGGATTTAGCTCAAAAGTAAAGAAAATTTACATACTGGCTCCAGTTTAGGACATGCGTCCCGTGAGCTTTTAAGCTTCCCATGAACAAGTAAAAGTGTCCCAAAATAGTATAAGCAAGCAGCACACGCCGGAATCCCTTTCGGCCCTAAAAATAGAAGAAATCTTCGTCCTAGCCCTTCAAAATTTCGATTGTGATGCTGTCTAGTTGAGTCAGGATGAGTATATGTAGATAAATTACCGTATTTCCTAAAATAGTACTCCCGGGAGTACTATTTTTCAACCCTCCTCCAAAGGGGAGTACTATTTAAGGGGGGAGTGCTAATTCAGGGGGGAGTACTATTTTTCAACCTTCCTCACTGATTTATCTTGTGAAAATTTATTTCAAAATTCTAAATGTCTAAATCAATTAGATTTCTTAATTTGAAAAATGCTGGATCCGTACATAGATTTTCAAAAAAATTCCTTTATAATTCGCAAAAAATATCCAAATTATTATAAAATTGAGCACATGGCAGGACATTTAAACACAAGTGACTTAAAATAAGGATTATTGAGGGATATCAAGAAGTATATATCAGTGGATTTGGAGTGGGGATTTAAGCTATAAGGGGATTTAAACAATTAAGAGTGAAGCATGCTTTGGACTAAGGTGGATATCGAAAATTGATACATCACTTTTGTTCTTCCGATATCCCTTCGAATCTTATGATATCCATATTTGGCGTAATATCAAGGGATCAAATTATGTAAGTTGGAGATCAGTGAGTTGGATATCTGAAAATTCTTGAATTAGAGGTATCGAAATAAAATCGTTGGGTTGAGGAGGATTCATGATTCAATTTTATCTTAATCACGCTTAATCAACAAAAAACTACTAATATGACTCATCCGTCATTATTCCCTCAAATTCCTTTATCCGCCTTTAATCCAATGATATCTTTTAACTCGCCTGATCAATTCAGAACCCCTTTTATCACCCGATATCAATACACTTATATCCCTCAAATCCACTTTTATCCAGCCACTTAATCACAATATACCTATCTCCTTAATCCTCAACAAATTTACGGTTCGATTTCGGTTAACAGGAAGTTTCGGTTCGGGTTTTCGGTTCGGTTTCGGTTAACACAGAATTAATTGAAACCGACAACCATAATTAGAGTAAATGAAATAATTTAATGAGTCTTTTATAATTTTTTCAAATATAGGGGAAAAATATTTTAGGGGGGAGTACTATTTTAGGGGGAGTACTAATTCAGGGGGGAGTACTATTTTTCAACCCTCCTCCAAAGGGGAGTATTATTTAAGGGGGGAGTGCTAATTCAGGGGGGAGTACTATTTTAGGAAATACGGTAGGAGTGATTAAGACGAATTTGAGATTAACAGAGATATCGATGGATTTGTAAAGATTAAGTGGTTTTGAATGGTTTAGGTATAACTGCGGTTGGGATTCAAGAGATATCGAGGAATTTGTAAAGCTTATATAGAATATTGAAACCATATTCTCCGATGGGCGCATATTCGCTTTTTGGGACACATATACTCTCAGAGACATATATACTAATTTTGGGGCACTTAAAAGCTCATGGGAGCGCATGTCCTAAACTATAGCCAAAATATTTTGTTAAAATTTATTTTCAAATAATTAATTAGCAATTCACCTGAGAATCGAACTTTGAAAGGAAAATTGGCTAGAGCTATGGCTTTAATTCAGAGTTCAAAAATTCATTTTGACAAAGATTCGTCGTTTGAAGAAAATTCTCAATTGCGAAATTTAAAGAATAATTTAGGTGTGTTTGTGTTAAATTATTCAAAAATAATTTGGTTTATTTTAGGAAGTTCCGTATTTTCTTCAGTTTGTGGAGGGAGTGAATTTGGGGATTTGGAAGATGTACTTTTGGAGGAGGAAGGGAAGGAGGTAGAAAAAGAAGGGAATATTTCAACATCACAACCAAAGTTAGAAGATGGAGGAGGAGGGGGAGAATGTGCAAGTAGAGAAACTCTTACTTCATTATTAGCTGCTATAGAAAAGGAACAACAATTTGATGGGGCTAATTCTGATACAATTGAAGGCTCTTCTTGTGGAACAGAGGAAATGTGAGAAAATTTTTAAATTTACTAAAAATATGTAGAAAGAACAAAAAATAATATTCGGGTATTGTAAATGCTCAAATAATTACCTAGGCTAATAATTACCTAGGTTAGGTGTACATTAGTGACCGGCAAAATCATTTTTCCAAAATCATTTTTTGGAAATTGGATTTTGGATTTCACACTCATGCCGGACCGGGGCCGGCCGAATTTTTCTGGATTAATCCGGTCCGTAAAAAATCCGGAGATTGCGGAAAAAACGGATCTGGGATCCGCACTCCGGAAAAATCTGGCTTGCTCCGGCCCGGCGCCGGTCACTAGTGTACATAGTATAGAAAATTGTTTTAAAATTTGTATTTTGATATTTTCATCTAACAACCTTTGCAATTTACACAAGTTCTTGGTGTAATTTTGTATTATGTATATCAGGGTTCAGACGTATAGCCACAAACCCGAAAGAATCCTTTTCGACCTGAAACCCTACTCAATATTTTCCTTGATCCGTCCGAACCATGACATGTATATTTAAGCTTCTGTTTCTTTTATTTTTAGAACAATGACATCAAAAAACGAAGGAATTGAAATTCAAAATGAATCAGAAATTTCTCGAGTTAAAAAGTGTTATAGGAGTCATGACGTGTCAACAAAACTCGAAGCAATTGATTGGGCAAAGAAAAATTCTATTCATTCAGCTTCAAGAAAATTCGATGTTGATCGAAAAATAATTAGAAATTGGATGAATAGTGAAAAGGAACTTGAACAACTTGAGCAACAAAATAGCCTAACAGGTGGACAAAATCGTAAGAGACTGGCAGGAGGCGGTCGAAAAGTTTCTCATCCGGGCATAGAAAAGGAACTGTCAGATTGGTTGAATGAAATGACTGAAAGGAATATGATTGACTTTAATCCTTAAAATATTTCTTTTTAAAATATTCGTTATATGTAAATTATTTTTTAAGGAAAATTTGTAGTAATTATTAAGCTGGGTAATTATTGAGCATTTACTTTATGTACCAATTTGTATAAAAAAACATTAAATTCCTCAGAATTCAGGCAACCCCTTGTTTATGGATTTATTAAAAATTATTTTTTTTGGATTTAATTTTTTATTCTAAATTTTTTTATAAAATTTCATTTTCAATAATTTTTAGACCTGCCAGTTCAAATACTAAATTAATTGACGAAACGGGAATTTAAAAAAATATATTTGTTATATTCAAATGGCTCAATTATTTAATATTTTTTTAAATCAAATACAAACTTTTTTATATACTTTTTTTAAAATGATAAATAAAAATTTAAAAGAATTTAAATTCCAGTCTTTTGCGAATTTTTTGCTTAATATTTAATAAAGCGACCAAACCCATTTCAGAAGTAAAAGGAAAAAGCCGCCTAGTCACGAACTGAGAGTTTTCAATTTTTGCTTTACTCTACATATTAGCTCAAGAAATCTACAGTTGTGCAAATTTTGCTTATTTTTACCAAAATATGGGCATATTTTACGATTTTTCGTGTATAAACCACTACCATTTAAAGAATTTAATATATAGTAAAGCAGCTGGGCTATAGCCATTTCTCTCCTTCAGCTAGTGCAAAAGGTTATTCGGCGGCTGGGAGCGAGCCAGCATCTTTAGTAGACCGGACTGATCCATTACACCACGCCGCCTACTGCGCAGCCTTAGGAAATAAATAGCTATATGCTTTACAATATATAGATTTAAATTTCAAAAATAAATTTTCTTTAAATAATTTCAACTAGAGATCGGACCGAGACGAGATCTCAAAAAAATCTCAATTATCGAGACGATATTTTTCGAGATATCGATCTCGATTCTTGTACGACCCTCCCAGTCCGGTCTCTAATTTCAACAATATTTCCTTCTCATCTACTAATTAATTCTTCATTTTATTTTCAAGCCAATCATCAATTTCTTCAATCTTCCCTACAATATATTTTTTATTTTCTTCTACCGAAACTTTAATAATTTCAATTTGAATTTTATTTTTAATTAATTTATTAATTAAATTCTTTCCATTTATTTTCATAAAATTTGGTATTTTTGTATTAATTCCTTTCTTTTCATTTAAATCTTCAAATATTTCTTCAAAATCTTCCAAATTATTAATTATTTCTTTCAATTTATTTTCATTGCTTTCATTAAAATAATTAAATTTATTAGCTAAATGTTTATAAATTTCTAAAATTCCTCGCAATTGAAATGTTATCAAACGAATTTTTAATTCTTCAGTTTGAATTGGATTTTTTAGTTTTCCTTTAAAAAATAAATTTTTAAAATTTATCAAAATTAGTAAAAATAATAATGGAACTTTTTAAATTCTATTAATTAAATCGAATCTCATTTATTACTAAAGATAGTGAAATTTATAAAACCAAATTTTAATTCAAAAAATTGTTTGATTTTCGTCAGACCAACCAATCAACTTTCAAATCCAAAATATTTCAAAAATTAACTTGCTTGCCTCCAGATACTTGTACACGTCCCGAGAACGTCGGCTTAATTCGAGCTAGAGGTTGTCATATTATCAAGATTCGACTGTATCTTATAGAATATTAGCTGTTTGAAACTTTTTTAGAATTTTGTTCCAAAATTAGAAGCTTACAAGTTAGACATATTTTTGAAATTTTTAAAAATTATTATCTGATTGATTAACAAATACATAGTTATGACCCGAAAATCGTTATACACTGCTCCACATAACTATAAGTTCACCCTAAATTTTCGTTTTTCTTAGCTTCTATCGAATCAATCGGGCTGAATTTTATTTTATAATTATTAAAGCGGGTAGCAATTCAGATTAACCCGAGAAATCGAAAAAATTTCCATCTAAAAATTTTTTATCCAATTTTTTCAAAAAACACCCTCCACATAACTATAAGTTCACCTTCAGAAATCACATAAGGAATGATTGAAAAATTCTATAAAAATTCGTGCAAACATTTTCATTGATAATAAGTGGAAAATAAAAAAGAACGAAGTCTGTAAGTGCTTTTTTCATCGTGATCCAAAATCTCGAAAATCAACGGGAAATGGGGGCTACAGTACTTTAAAAATATTTTTACAAGTGTAGACTGTACATAAAATTTTTTATTACTAGCGAAGGTGCTCGCCCTTCGGGCGAGCTCCTCCGCTAGCCTAATTCAAAATCATAACAAAACTTAAAAGTCAAATCAACTCATTTCCGGTCAGTCTTTTCCTTTGACAAAAACTTTTTTCTACCTATTAACTCACTTTTCAACTATTAACTATGATTCATATTAACTAAGATTTATAACTTTCAACTATTAACTATTAATATCAATTTTCAACTATTAATAGCAATTCCAACTATTAACTATTAATTTCAACTGTTGACTCACTTTTCAACTATTAAATATGATTCATATTAACTAAGATTTATAACTTTCAACTATTAACTATTAATATCAATTTTCAACTATTAATAGCAATTTCAGCTATTAACTATTAATCATCAACTTACTTTTTAACTATTAACTATTTTACTATATATACTACTGTTAGTTAATACTTAATAGTAAAAGAACTTTTTTACTATATATACTACAACTGTTATACTACAACTGTTAGTCACTCTAGTACTCTCAGCTATTTAGTGTCACACAGTGTCAAACTCTAGGACTATCAACTATTTAGCATCACACTATGTCAACCTTGCTAGTACTATCAATTATAAGCTATTTAGTATCACAAAATGTCAAACTCTATCACTATCAATTACGTAGTATCACACAACGTCAAACTCTAGGACTATCAACTATTTAGCATCACACTATGTCAACCTTGCTAGTACTATCAATTATAAGCTATTTAGTATCACACAATTTCAAACTCTAGTACTCTCAACTATTTAGTGTCACACAATGTCAAACTCTAGGACTATCAACTATTTAGCCATCACACTATGTCAACATTGCTAGTACTATCAATTATAAGCTATTTAGTATCACACAATGTCAAACTCTAGTACTCTACTTTAGTACTCTAATTTAGTACTACTTTACTTTAATAGTTAATAGTAAAAGAACTTTTTTACTATATATACTACAACTGTTTGTAATAGTTAATAGTAAAAGAACTTTTTACTATATATACTACAACTGTTTGTAATAGTTAATAGTAAAAGAACTTTTTACTATATATACTACAACTGTTAGTTAATAGTTAATAGTAAAAAAACTTTTTTACTATATATACTACAACTGTTATACTACAACTGTTAGTCACTCTAGTACTCTCAGCTATTTAGTGTCACACAATGTCAAACTCTAGGACTATCAACTATTTAGCATCACACTATGTCAAACTTGCTAGTACTATCAATTATAAGCTATTTAGTATCACACAATTTCAAACTCTAGTACTCTCAACTATTTAGTGTCACACAGTGTCAAACTCTAGGACTATCAACTATTTAGCATCACACTATGTCAACCTTGCTAGTACTATCAATTATAAGCTATTTAGTATCACAAAATGTCAAACTCTATCACTATCAATTACGTAGTATCACACAATGTCAAACTCTAGGACTATCAACTATTTAGCATCACACTATGTCAACCTTGCTAGTACTATCAATTATAAGCTATTTAGTATCACAAAATGTCAAACTATCACTATCAATTACTTAGTATCACACAATGTCAAACTCTAGTACTTTCAACTATATAGTATCACATAGTATCAAGCAATTTAGTACTATCAACTATTCAGTATCACAGCTCATAAACTAAAACCTAACTATAATTATACTATAAAACAAAACTCACAAAAAACCAACGGTTGGATAATGCGTTGTTTATATAAAATATCAGCACAAAAAACCAACGGTGGATAATACGTTGTTTAAATAAAATTTCGTTTTGATTTTGAACCTAAAAACAATTTTTAAATAAAACCAATTTTAAAAAACAAAAAAACAATTAAAACACATCTTAAATACAATTAACAAACAAAAAACTTGAAAAATTTAAAAAAAAACACAAAACAAATTCTAAAAAATTTACATTCTTTCTTTACTTCTCTAAATACACACTATTTTCACTTTAGGATATTTTGTCATTTTTAATTAAAAAAATAAACACAACGCCAAACACAGCAAAATTTAAAGCTGCGGACAGACAAACAGGAATTCTAAAATTATATATAGGATAGTCCATCTGAAAGCCCACAAAATTAGCTACAAAAAACAGTTGGTCCTATCCAGGACAAAAATTCTACCTTCGAGGAGCCTTGGGTTAAATGAGATGATGAATAAATTCTCCCAAATCACCCCACAAAATGTCATTATTTCGAGTTTCTAAATTTAACCGGTGTTTCCTCAGTGATAAAATTTTTCCCTATGATAGGACCAACTGTTTTTAGTAGCAAATTTTGTGGGCTTTCAGATGGACTATAATAAAAAATTTTATGTACAGTCTACACTTGTAAAAATATTTTTAAAGTACTGTAGCCCCCATTTCCCGTTGATTTTCGAGATTTTGGATCACGATGAAAAAAGCACTTACAGACTTCGTTCTTTTTTATTTTCCACTCATTATCAATGAAAATCTTTGCACAAATTTTTGTAGAATTTTTCAATCATTCCTTATGTGATTTCTGTAGGTGAACTTATAGTTATGTGGAGGGTGTTTTTTGAAAAAATTGGATAAAAAATTTTTAAATGGAAATTTTTTCGATTTCTCGGGTTAATCTGAATTGCTACCCGCTTTAATAATTATAAAATAAAATTCAGCCTGATTGATTCGATAGAAGCTAAGAAAAACGAAAATTTAGGGTGAACTTATAGTTATGTGGAGCAGTGTACTAAGAATTATTTTAGAAGCTGTGAATAAGAAATTCTATAGAAATTCTTGTGATATTTCTATCGATA